CAAAGTTCGTTTCAAATGGTTGAATATATGTATATCTGTAATTCATTGGTATTAATGAATTACTGTATCATTTAACAAACTGAGTGTTAGTGAAATTATACAGCAAAAAAGCTGACCTAATTTATTAAACTTCTTTTCAATTTAATAGACTCCAGTCAGTTTGACATAATGCTAATTAAAATCCTACATTTGATTTACTGTAGATTGGTGGGTATGAACTATTGAGTAAACTCAATTGATGATTTATCAGTTGATCTGTAATTCTTAGTTTACTTGATAAAACAAGCCGGTGATAAAAAATCACGTATAAATCATAAAAAGATATTTACAAAAGCCATTTGAGTGAATAATACAAAATACAAAATAAAGACTAGACACGCATGACATTGATCACCACCCAGTGATCAATCAATTATGATTACATCTCAGTCGTACAGGAGGTCGGTCGCGGCTCAGATAGCTCAATGATAACGTCTCTGACTATGAAGCTGGGTGACACGAGATCGAATCCGCTAGGGAGCACCAGTTCCCTCAAGATTACAAGTACACCTTGCTGACGAGTGTCAAGTAGCATGAAACCCGGGTCCAGGGTTTCCTGTCGACTACCTCCAACCACCACCTAGTTTCACAATAGTGCACGCAGTGTCGAGCCACCTGGACTGGTGGCTACATTGCAACAGGGTCGATAGCATTCGATCAGCACTAATAATGACTAGACACGCATGACATTGATCACCACCCAGTGATCAATCAATTGTGACTACAAAATACTCTATTTATACGATGTTAAGACATTTCCATTTACTATTTTAGCGTTTAACAGCCACAACGAACATCGGAATATTTTCTTTTTGACAATCACATTTACTTAACAACGTACCGCTTCTAGTTTTTTTTCAGTATTTAGCACCATTCTGCCTAACTAGAGAATACCATCTTAGCAAATAAAATTAACTATAAATGCAATTGTACATCTTAAATAAATAAAATCGTCGAAAGGCAAATATTCTTCACTGAATGGCCCTCTTTCTTCTTCAATGACACAATGGGTCTCTTACGTTACATCAAAGTATTTTCTTTTAATTATAAAAAGATTATAATATACATTACAATCATTGTCATTATTGTTGAATTACGTAATATTGTTTATTTTTCTTACAGATAAGTCAATTCACTAACCTAAACAAATAGGAAATTATAAATTAGAATTCATACATAATTTCTAAAATATGAAAGACAAATTATTTCGAAGAAGAAAGAAAAGAATAAAATTACAAAATCTATAAAAAAATTCATATCTTGACTCTTAAAGTCTTTTGAATCTCTTCAAAACGCTTCCTATCTTCATCATGTCTACGTAACATTTCTAATAGTTCTGCATCAGATTTTGACCATAATTTGTAATCATTAGACTTTTTCAAATTCCTATCATTTTCCTAAATTAAAAAGATTCAAAAAAGAATAAGCGTTCAAAAGTCATTGATTAAGTTAAGAAATAAAGAATAATAAGTGAGTAAAAATGAAATACAATATTTTATGTGACTATTTCAATAGGGTATTCATGAATTATTCAACTACGGCTTTTTTTATCCCTTGACAATTAAATCATTTGATATTTTTTTCTCTCTCGATAGGTTTAGAATCCTGCTCCACATACTTTTATATCGATAGTCACGTAGTTTTACTTGCTGATGCTCCGAAAGTATGGATCCGGATTGAGCTTATGAGCTTGAATTTGTTGGATGAGTAACATTAATTTAGGAAACTCATATAAAACGGTTATTTCACTAATTTTAATTGTTGAGTAAAATGTAGTTCAATGACTTTGTTTAGAATAATATACATTTACTCAAAGTAATGTCATGTTTGTTTAGTCTATCCTTGATTTAAAACAATTCAAGTTACAATATGACTACTGGTAACATCGTACGAAAAGTGATTTAATGTAAGTTAACTGGAAGCTGGGAACTCTTGGTTGAAATTTAGTGCTAGATGGCAATGGTCAGTACGACTCAATTGTAATATTGAGTGAACTGATCATTTTACAGTTTATGAAACTACATCACTATATTTGCGATGTTCCTATTACGCTATCGGTGCTGATAAGTGTCAGTCAGCATGAAACCAATGTCTGAAGTTTCCCAACGATTACCTGCAGTTATCTAACATCAACACTTTTCCTTTCAAAACAATCTTTTGCCCAATAAAATCAAAATATTTTTCTCCATAGAGTCAACCAATATTATCTTATATTACATAACTAATCCCAAAGTGTGATTAATTTTCCTTTAACCTGTTTGTCAATAAAGTTTACTAACCATCAGACACTTTACCTTCAAAAACAAATTAATGGCATCTAGTCATCTAATACAATATTGTTTTTTTTACATTAAAACGATAATTTCAAATGAGCTAAATAAATGTTTTCAGGATTTTATTCAGTGTTGTATTTTAAAAAATCAAATAAATATAAACTATACACTGTCAAAAACTTTTATTAAAAAATAATTTCAATAGTTGAGATCATGAGTCAATTGAAGCTAGACCACCATGAAAATCTTGGAAGCACTGGACGGCCGTTTCGTCGTATTGTGGGACTCCTCAGCAGTGCGCATTCATGACCCCGCCTCGCGAGATTCGAACCCAGGACTTATCAGTCTCACGCACGAGTGTTTAAACTCTAGACCACTGACCCGGCATCCAATTGTATTAGTGTCTAAATTCAATGAATCCAAAAAAATTAAGGAAATTTCCAAATATTTTCTTTAAATTCATTTACATATAATAATAAATTTTAATGAATTACCTGTTTCTGTTTATTTGTGTGAATTCGACGATGGTTTGAATAAACTTGAGTAACATGTTTTGCATAATTTAACATCTATAATCAAATAAAACATATTACTGTTAATAAGTGAAATTTCGTTATTATTTATGAACTTTGTATTGTATTAATGTAATGTACTAACAGATACTTTTGATGTCTAATAACTTTCAATTGTAAATTTATTTGTTTGGATTCAACCTCATCCTAGACATAAATAATATTTCTGTTGTCAACTATGGTGCAAACGATTCTCATGAATAAATTACCTCAGCTGACCTTTCGAACTTTTCTGGTTCTATTATTCAGCAATACTTCAGTCAGTCAGTCAGCTACAACGTAGGACCAGGCACATATATGCATCGTTCTAGGTTCCATACCTCATTAACACAACAAGATGGACACCGGATTCATAGAAGTATATATATATATATATATACTCTTGACCTAGTCCTTAACTATTAAGAAGACTTAGAAGACAAACAAAAACTACTACTGCTAAGAGTATATTTTTTATGAGAACGTAGCATTCTTTATACCCAGAATTTCCTTCCAATTATTAATATCTACAATTTGGTAGTTGTGACCTCATATGAAATTTTTATGAAATTGATTGATTAATAGATAAAAATATTTTAAAGCAATGACACTTTTTTATTAGGTAGTCCAGGAAATATGGAATTTTTTCGTTAATTTTCAATTACATTTTTCAACTGCAATATCAGTATTTTATTAATTCATTATCAGATTGATTATGAATACAGTGATTTCGAGTGCAATTAGAAGTACGAGGGCGGTTTTCACTTCCCGGGTTGCCCACACCGTGGAAGGGTTCTTCTGGAGGTACCTGAAAAGGATAGTGGGTTAGAGGTGGTATTAGTGACCTGAGAGTGTGACCACAGTGAGCAAGGGACAACTGCTTGAGGTCGGTCACACACGACCTTTTTGTGAGTAATTTTTGTGTTAGCTCCCTACTTGTTGAGACCCTACCGCCGGAGACGGATATCCGTGGGATAAGGTGAGGTGTGCATTTCTAGGGTCGACCTTTTCTGAACACAATCCCTCGTTGTGGGAAGGCAGCATCGCTGTCATGCTGGTTGTCAAGGAAACACCTTACTGCTGTCACACCTCCGTACAGTCAGAAGTACAACTTAGCCTTCGAACCCTGAGTTTGTTGTTTTTAGTCTTACCGCTATTCAACCGACCTGTCTGCCATGGTAGGACCTTGAGAAACGATTGTTCCAGCCAGTTTAACTAGATTGGTTCATCACGATAGACAAGCCTGACCACTACGTCAAGGTAGCAACAACGGCTGGGTTAATTCATTATGATATCATACGTATTCTAATATTATTGGAACAAACTCTTAGCTCCCTACTTAAATGCCTGAGCTACGTATTTTTCCAACGATTTGAATATTTCAATAAGAATAATGAGATTATTAATAAGAACACTATAAAATTGTTCATTATTTTCATAAGATAGTGACTGAAAAGTTATTATACATAATGCTTGTATATAAAATAAAAACAAATTATTATTATTATTATTATTATTATCAATCAAAGACCTACAGCTAAACGTTTTTCTGCTGCCTTTTGCTTATTCATCTCCTCTTTTGATATTTCTGGTGGATTTCTCGCAGTCCCAGTTTTAGATTCCAGATTTGTACCATTTTTAAAAGTTTGATGACTTGATAAAGATATTTGGTGCGGTGAACAAAGCAAAGTATTGTGTTTATCTTTTGACTTATCATCACTTAGATTTTCAGATTTGTTTTGTGTAGCTTGGGTTAGATTTGGATTTGAACATTTGTTAGCATCTGGTTCAAACTTTTCTTCATTTTCTTTATTACTGTAATTTTTGTCACCAGGTGAGGAATTCGAAGTGTCATTATGAGAATCAGTACAACCAATAATATTGTTTTCTGAGTGTAAAACTCTAGCATTAGATTTTTCTTTACACTTTCTTATGTGCTCTGCATAAACATTTTGTCGGAGTTTTCGAGCAAGCTTAATAAAGAAAAAAAGGCGAGACTCTAATTTATGGACGACCTTTGAAAGAATCTTATGTGACCTTGACAATTATTACCCAATCAAAAGAGTTAGTATAAAGTGAAAATATACTATAAGAAACTAATGAATTGCAGTGGATATTCTTCTTTTACATGATTTAAAAACTTGTTGAGGTTTGATAAAGGTTCAGATGTTCTGAAATCATACTGCATACGATGCAGAAACTCGTCCATATGGCTTCATAATAGGCGTCCTCTGGAGCCGTGATACGGTCTTAAAAATTCCTTCAGTCTTGACCACATGGCTTCAATGTTATTAGTGTGAATCCCGGTAGTAGAGTCGACAAAGTGGCGTTCATGCATTACGACATGATGGATATACCCAAGTCTATGAAGGCATCTATATGCTCTCCAATCATCTGTATATATCGTAGTGCCCGGCTGCACGTATTTCTGTATAATTGGTATTATTGTGCTTGCTTGCCGGTTTCTGACCCTCCAAAAATGCCTTCTTTCTCCAACATAAAGAACATCGAAACACAATGTCATCACGATAGTCTGCATACGGTACTGCAGTCATTTGATTACCGCAGTTGCAGGTAAAGGAACTTCTTAATTGTCCCATCTCTTGTAGCCGCTAAATAATCATCTCTTCTCTAAAATCCGCTGTAAAGTGATCGTACGTAAGCATCGGGTATTGAAATTAGCGCCGTGACCTTGAAATTCCTCAAACGCTTCTAATTGGCTCGTCCATAAATTACAGTCTCGCCGAATATTGTATTCAAACATATAGTACAAAGCAAATGCTTGAAAGATAAATATTCTCAAATATAAAAGGTCGTGAATCACCCGTTGATTTTCATTAGGGTCCCAACTGAGTTCAATTTGCAACGAATTTCACTTACACATAAAGACAATCTGCAAAAAATTCTTCCGGGAGATATGACTTGAAAACTTAAGGATTTAAAAAGTTCATATCAAAACTAGTGAATATTGAGTACTTTCAGAAGATAACTTGAAGTGGTTAAAGTGTCATGCCTTTAGATTATTTATCTAGTAACGTGCATCAAACCACCCACAGAAAGCAGTACTAGGTACTAGTGATACTGATTCAAAACCTTAAAAAGTACTAACCTTCAAATTTTTCCGTATAAGACAGTCACCTTTTTTCAAAACTGAAGTATTAGAAGAAACTAGGGATGTCACTTATAACAGAGACAAACAATTAATGCTCTTTAATTTTTTTCTACCTTGAACGAGTACTAAATAAACTAGAAATACTGATGTAAAGGTCAATAACAGAAAATTTATTCCATTCGTCATACTTCTCCAACTGCCATTATTTATTTCCAATACAGTAACAAAAACGTTTTTCACCAGCTTTCCACCTAATGATTAGTTTGGTAAATTCTATAAGAAAAGTGCCAATTACTTACCTTCTGACGATACTCTTCATTATCTATATCAGGACCTAATCCACGTGATTTTGAGTTGATTGATGGCAATAAACTATAGTCTTTGAGTGTATATCGTTGTTGTGATAGCATCAAAGGTTTCCGCTGGCTAGAGTTTCCTGAAGTAAGTGAATTACTGTTACTGTTATTGAAACATGGTTGAGCGGTTTTTTGAGTATTTACGTTTGGTGAACATAATGTGTGCAAACGTGTTTTGGTTTCCAGTTCCATGGGAGGTGATGAATAATACTTGTGACAAAATTGCTTATGAGCTTTAGCTAGTTCAGCCTGCTGCAATATACCCATTCGAAATACACCAGATGCTGAAGTCTGTAATAAGTGAATATTCAACATAAGATATATAAGATAAAGTGGAGATTTCAGGCAAATGAATTTGTTGTTAAGTAGAAAGATTGGACTTGTATTTAAAAGGTTTTCGAGGTAGACAAGAAACCAAACAACAATTATTTAGAAATATATATATATATATATATATATATATATATATATATATATATATATATATATACAGCAAAAGTACCATTGTTTGAAAGTCTAGAAGACATTATGTCTGATAATTTATCGTTACCCTTTAAGCGGTTTCTTTGGCTCTTTTCAAAATATAACAAATATATTTAGATTGAAAAGGGTTCGCCTTTTCTTGTTTTTTTGGAGTTAAGGACTACAAATACCATATCTGCATCATAAACAAGTGACCCAGATGTCACCGTCTAATTATAAGTTTTGTTAAAGTTGGAGTCTGTTTGGCGGTGGAACCCAGGCCATGGAATTCATAACATCAACAACGGAAAATTCAAACACTAACAAAAAAATTCATACCCGCTGAACAAGTCCGTGACTATTTGGACTCATGAGCTCGGTACATAGTGGATTAGCACTTGAAACGAACGGTAGTGGGTTTGAGTCTCACTGTAGACATCGTGTCTGGGACGAGTAACCAACATGAAGACTACACGTTCTAGATCCCACTGGTACCCATAAGTAATTTTTAATAAAACATTTAGACATAAGGTTTTATTTTATTATTATTATTATTATTATTATTATTATTATTAATGACTTTGTTCAATATTATATTTTTAGTACAATATAGAATTTTCAGCACAAAGTATTTCAACACGTTTTCTTCTTATTTCTTGATCGACCCTTGCGATAAATATTGGGTGGTCGTCAGTTAGATGTTGGCAGTTCAGGAATCGACATCTGATTAATGTATATTCTTTTGGATGCATATTGCCAGCAACTACGTTGTCTCTGATTGGGCTCTTTTGTAACTTGTACAGCGAAATGTCGTAAACGTTTCACAAACGCACCTGAATAGGTTATATGATTAATAGACATAATGATGTATTAAAACAAACAAGGAATTAGATAACTTGTTGAAATATCCAGATGGTGAGAACAGGTAGCTCAGATATTCAAGCAGGCCGCCTTGGAAAAGTAAAGGTCAAAAACACTACAATATGAAAAAAAATTGTTGTTTATCTACAAGTTTCATTTCAATGTAGTCACTGTGCTGTGGAATGACGATGAATAGTTATTGACGATATTATCAGTATTTCAAGTTAAAATGATTTAAGTATATTCATTGATATGCTCAAGTTATATTCAATAAATTAATGAGTAGATGAGTGAAAGAATTTTCTTAAAACTTGAATAACAAAGATTACAAAACTAGATAAAATCATTAGTTTACTAGAATTTATATTGTATTAAATAATGCTTAAAAATAATAGAATTCAACAAATTTATGATAGTTATAATAAGTATTATTTTGAGATGCACTGAAGAATATCATCCTTATTATGAATTTAGTTCCTCTATGTTTTCAATAATTAATCTAATAATCAGTTGTACTAAAATCCATTTTCAAATTAACCCAAAGTTAACATTAAATTAGCGTGAAACAAATATTTTCAATTTTAATTACTAATCGAATTTAGCTAGAACATCACTGAAGAATTGTGAACATTGGATGAGTTTTGCGCAATGTCATGAATTGACTAAAGCTACAAGTTAACACCATTATATCCCGACTGCATAGTCTAGAAGTTAAACGTCCGAAAACGTGACCGAAAATCCTGAGTTCGATCCCTGGTTGAGGGTTCGTAAATGAATACTGCCGAGGGGTTCCATACTAAGACAAAAAGCCTGTCTAGTGCTGCCAGGTTTTCAATGGTGGTCAAGCTAGGATTGCTTCATGGTTTAAACTACGAGATTTCTACAATTACAAATCCTTAACTCCAACAACATCAACAACATGTATATGATAAACCTGAAATCGTAGGTTTAGTCGCAATACGGAATTAACTGACTGGTTATCGGGTGAGTAGCTGATATAACTTAATTCAGTACTCAAAATGTTAACAACATATTACCGGCCAAGGTTAGTATCACTAGTTAAGTGATAGGTTCATGAATTATAACAGCTCCAAAACACAGGAACACTGTTTTTGGGATTAACAATAATTAATAATGATCTATGATATTCCAACTATTGAGCCAATTACTAAGGACTGTGTGATTATCTTAATAAAAAAGGCTAACACAAAGAAATTATGCAAAGCGTTATCTCTTTCCGACAAACTTACTGGGTAGGAATTGTAACTGATCTCTTTTCTACTACTTTCTATTTGAGTATTGCCACTTAGACTATATCCATTTAATTGTTCATATGAACTGTAAGTTGGTTGGATTTCACAGTAAGATTCAATAGGTTGATTTACTGCTTCTTTTTCTCTCACAGAACTGTTTTTTGTATTGCGTAATGTGTATAATTTATTTGAATATGCAGACCAAGCTGGCTGGATAAATATTGTTAACGAAAATTCAATAAACAAATATAAAACTGACCTCTAATAATTAAAATCATCATGATTTCAATACAGATGAAATATATTAATGAAAAATATTGCGACATAAGAAATGTAGTTTGATATTCGTAAACAAAATATGAAACCAAAACTATCGTATAGTAGCTGAAGAAAATCATAATTGCTATAAGAACAGGTAAATTAACTAGTTCAATTTAAAATATATTCCTTTGCTTGATCATGTAACATTAAACTGAATTTTGAAAAGAGCAAGAATAAAGATTCTAGCAGAATAGCATTTTATTTCTTTCCGGTCTCGTTAGCTGCTCACAGCCTGTGATATTTAAAAACAGGTTTAAATTACTTATATGAAGAAGTTAAGTTGGAAGTTATGTTGAAGACACATTAGTATGGTATAGCAACTATGTAAATAAATTCAATAGACTGAATATTGTAAATATATACCTTATGTAAAAGAAAATTCTACTACACTAATTGTGACGACGGTTCAAACGGCCAGAAGCAAGTGATTACATAATGATTAAACGCTGATAGGAATAAAACGAGCAAACCTCAGATAGTAAAATAAGTTTAATAATCTGGAAGATGGTCGAAATAAAGAACTCAATGGTGTAATAAATTCAGGAAAGAGGTTCAAAAAATGTTCCAAGATGCAATAAAGGAATATTTGTCATCAAGGCAAAGAATGATTATTAACTATCTCCTTTTGAACATATAAATTAGGTCACCGACGCCTGATAGCAACGGCTTCAGAAGACTGAAGTTTGGTTGTTTAATAATCACCTTGAAAGATTGCAAGGTATCAACCTGATGTCCTTTACTCAAAAGATGTTTGATAATGGCACTGTTTATAGTTGTTCTTTCTTTTGTTTAAAGGTTTTTTGGAACATGCTCAAAATATCGAAGATATGCTCTCGTTTCTGTTCGGCCAATGTAGCTGTATTGGCAGGTACACGTGAATTTATAAACACAGTTGGTGGTAAAACAAAAAGGGTTCTTGTCCACTTTTGATTGGGTTATCGAACATGTTGTTTTATACATAATTAATAATTTGGCTTCTAGGTAAGTTCCAACCGTTGCATTGTTAAGCCTCCTACTGATTATCCTTGCGATGTAATCACCTTTGAAGTTGATTTACATATTTATTTATTTATTTATTTATTGTTTTTTATTCATTGTAGTCTCTTCTATCTGGTATTTTTAGGTTTTTTATATTTGTCAATACTTTTTTGTAGGTAGCAGTTTTCTCTTAGACATTTTCAACATTCATCAACTCTTCTTCCAGTTTTCAATTCATCAATGTAGTGAACAAATAAAGATTGTCTTTCAATTCTTTCATTTTGATGTATCAATCATGAAATCTGAACAAAACAATTAAACTAATAGTAGTTCTTTGGAAAAAGAAAACATATTTTATTAGATCTTAAACATTTCTTTTAAATGATCAAATATAAATAAAACATACACTCAACTTATATAAATAGAAATAACAAATAATTACTTACAAAAAGTGGTTGATTTATTTTAGGTGTTATTTGTTTATAAGATGTTGGTGATGATAATATTGATGGTGATGATGTTAATTGTGACAGATTATTCCCATTCCATTGTGATTCATTTATATAGTTTTCTTTATTATTTATTAATTGTCTATTAGAGCATAAAACAGGATCCGATTGAAAATATTCTCTATGACGTTTGGTAATTTTCAAATTTGGACTAAGTAGAAATTGATTATTTGTTAAACATTTCGCTGATCTATTTATTTTTTTAATGATATTGAAATGAAAAGATTGAGTTAAGCTATTTATTAAGGTTCATTATTACTAAATCAAATTATTTAGCATTACATAATTAAATAAATAATTTAATAGTTCATTCAATATCCAGAAAGAACGTTGTGTCTAGCCTATATTGTACAATATTGATAAGTCAGGAGAAGAAGACAAGTTCATGTTTCCCCTTACTCGTTGTTAAATTAACTGTGCTTCTAATGTGACATTTTAAGATTGATTTTATTCACAGTGTAACATCTTAGTCAGTGCAATACTGGTTTTATGTTTTTCGATATAACATTATTTCAATTCAGTATGTTCGTACCAGTGAAGTGTAAATTTCGTTCGGTATGAAGGTTGTGGACTTTTGCACAGTGACATCTATATTGTTTGCAATATTCTGTGCGAACATCGCATTTTTTAATAGTAATACTGTATATCTTTCCATTTATATTATGTTTCTTAACTAATCGTCAAATATGTGAAAATCCATATATAAATGATTATATTTAGTTTAATGATGACGTTTATAGATGACTTGTTTTGGAAAGCCAATAAATTGTTATTGAACCAGTCATTGTGTTTTCAATTAGCGTCGTCAGAATTGCAGTTGCTCCTCTTTTCCGGGTAACAACAGTACGACGGCTAATACAACAGAGGGGACATGTACATAATAGAGGCTACCTGAATATGACGGACGTTAACGCCACCTGACTGTTTACATCATGGAACATAATCTTTGTCTGAAATAGGGTGGTCAGAAAATGAAAGTTGAATGATTGATTTAATGGAATGAAGATATTAATACTAAACTCTTATCCCAATAATTAATGTGATAATACTTTTCACCATGTCAGTCTTCACATACTATTGCACAATTACTAAAATAATTAACCAACATTTTTATATCTCCACAAAACGCAACTATGTCGAAATATCATAATGTCTCACCAATATTAATGACTATTACGTTCATATCCACGATGTATATAAGTGCCGATTGTAGAATTAGGTGCTTTAGCCATAACTGATGAAGTTGACTTTGATAACCTCGAATAAATATTGAGTAATTAAAATATTGTTTATTTAATTAAACATAAGCAGTCTCAGATTTTTCCATTTCTTCATACACATTTCGAATAGAATGCACAAGTTTGCAAGATAAGTAAATAATATTTGTAATATTATCTGCTTACAAGTATTCATCATAATCTTATAAAAATCCTGTTGAGGTACACACATTTGGAAAGTTGAAACAATGCAAATAATGAAATTACTAATAGATTCTCATTGACAAATCAGTCATTTAAGTCTTTACTAGTAAAAAGCATAGTATTCAAACGATTCAGATGAATTTTTCAGTGATTAACAATAGAGATCATTGATCTCTTATTCCGACATTTTAAGCTATACAAACAGTGCAGATATTCATTAACACATTATATTATTTTTTGACAATAACAAAAAACTTTAGTATATAAAATTATCCTACCCAGAATTATATTGTGATTTCACCTTATGAAGTTGACCGTATGTTACGGGACAACTTTTAACACCTCCTTGATGAATGTTTATTTTGTTGGAAGCAATAAAATTCAGTTTGGTTTTTAGCTTATTTTTAACAACTAGTTCATGGCCAATAATATCTAAATGGATGTTTACGAAACACAAAACAAAATTACTTCACTACATATGAAAGAAGCATATTTTGAGCATATTAACTGAAAAGTCAGGTTTTTGTAAATATACGTAAGATGTGGATTAGAGTGTACAAAACTATAGATATATTATGGATGGAAATAATAAGTCCCGTTGGTTGTTTCAATATCTTCATATTTTGGTGATGTTGTCTTGTTTGGTGAGAATCATGTCGAAATCTTGAATAGCATTACAGGAGTATTTAATCAGTGTTTTTTCTATCTGAATGCAAACTGCTGTTTCATGATCAAGAAGGGTTAATAAACATTCTGACTATGAGAACTAAGGTAATTGAAAGCATTCATCAATTTAATTGTTTACATCTCAGTAACCATTTCTGGTTTGGTGGTTGACAAAACCATTGCACGTAAAGAGAATATAGTCGGAATTTGTTTTGGCTGAATCGATTGTGGCAAAAATTAGATATATCATTTTGTTTCTAAGAAGGAATGCATATTGTGTACCAGTAGGGTTTATGTTACTTTAAAGGCATAAAACATGTGTAGTTGGTTGAGAACGATCACAGGTATCTCCAACATATTGTTTACGTAGGTTAGAACCACTGAATGACTAACCACAGAGTTAGAGTGCTGGGTGAAGTTGGTATGACAATTGATCAAAATAGTTATAAAGAATAATATATTCAAAACAACTAGGGCCTACTAGACAATAATAAATCATGAAAATGAATTTAACTGAGCAGAAGGTGTAACATGAATAGCTTCTGTTTAAGAATGAAACGTCCTCATAATTAAAAAATGACTACATTTTTGCAGTCCAAAATTTACTTAAATCGTTTACTTTTCAGAGTAAAAAGTATCTCGCCTTAGAATAATCTCGTTCATTTAAGAATTAATAATAAACATTAACTTCATAAACTAAATTTCACGTTCTTACAATGTATTAACCATAAATCTCACTGAAAATTAATCCTAAATCACCTTTTTACACAATAAATGGGAAAAATCGATATTGTTTCGATTTTGTCAAGGCTTTCAGTACCGTAAAATGTTGCAGATGAGAATTTGATGCCAAATTCGAATAGTGGTTTAACAATACGATCTTCAGGAGTTGCTTCATTACTATTCTACACTATCACTAATTGAACCAGATGCCCTTTCTGGTACCATTTTACTAACTCTTCTCTGCTTATGTAACGTTGGTCCGTCGTCATTCATCGGAAACTTCCACTAACTTCCTTAATATCCAATGACCACAATCGACTACGATCTCGCAATCCAATCACGCAAAATATTGTTGATCTTACTATTGGATGTAACTGGTTAACATGCACCACACATGTTAACTTAATGTTGAAATTAAAAATATCGATTTTGTGTGGTACAAGTACTTATCTCCTTCACCGAATAAATGAATCTGAGCATCCCAAGAAGTCGCAACCAAAGTGCTGAAGTTCTTTATCCTTTATTGACAATTCCTAATGGTTAACCAGAAAAACTATTTACTCTGATGCCGTGGCAGCATACTGTTACCTTAACAAAGTGACGTCTTTACATTGATATACCATTGGTTCTCAAATCTTACAACCCATTGTCACTTTGGTTAGATAATCATTAAAGTTTGAGGGGAACCAGAAAGCCTTTTCACTCTAATATAAAAATCCACAGCATTCTACTTTCCATGATTTCACTTGGTATTGAATCCGGAAACCTCCGAACTTGTGGTCAATATTTAACTTTCAAATAACTGAATTTCTATTCAATGGTGCACATTTCTAATTTCGGAAAATTTCTAGACGATCACCATCCATTGTCACACGGTAGTTGTGTCACACCCAAGATAACCAAACTCCAATGGTCACTAGTTTTCACTAGAACTCCAAGAATCACTTCTTAATATTAGTAACTAGTAAAATCAAGACCTTTATATATAGGAAATTATCAATGATGCTGAAGTAGATTCTCACTACTTAGGAGGCCTGTACTAGGATGAAACATCTATTCAATCCATCTTAGATTTCAATGATTATCTGACTAAAGTTATTTTTTAAAATAAAATTAAAGAGATTCAGTAATCTTCATACCAAAGACATTGTTAATTGTTAAAAACTTATTTTCCAACTAGAAAATGTTACTAAGCACAAGAATCTAAATTTCCAAACCATATATCTTGCTCATATCTAAAAAACTTAAAACCATCAGAGAGACAAAACAATGAGACTCTCCATTCTCTGACAGGATTTAGCTCAAGAGCTTTCAAAATCAAAATATACACAAGCTCATTGATATATAAAAACCTAGACTTGTAACATAGCACTGACAACTACATTTTTGTATAATACTTGGTTTAATAGTATATATATGCCCTATATATATATATATAGGGCATGAGTGAGAGATTTACCTTCACCAAGGATGATGGGTTCACCATACTGATAGTTATTATTCGATCCACACATAGTACTCTTGGTAGATCTATTGGGATTAATTTTATCCAACTGTAATTTCTTTAATTTTTGACTACATTGATTCCATTGAGTTGGAATAATTTCACCTCGTGACTCTTCAAGAGAATTTTCTGATGAATTCTATAAAAATGTCGAGAAATAATCAGTAGTTCGAAACCGATAGACTTTCAAAGTTAAAATCATTTTGAAATAAATTTCACTGTACAATGTAAATAAAATTATTTAATAATATATTCTCCGAAATGCTTGGTTCAATTGGAAATCATCATTATTGTTATGAACCATAACATCATCGCCTAGTCCTCAGTTTGTTTTTATCACCTTAAGACAGTGAATGTGACCAAAGGTTTTAATCCCAGTTGATTGCTTTATTAGTCTGACCTTCAGTAATTTATTTGAATTCGTTTTAATTAGCTGATGAACAGGGTTTAATCAGATATGTTTTATGAACAGATTGACCCAAGCGCTAGAATAGTAGAGTCTCCAACAATTTGCTTTATCTTTCATTCCCAAATACATCTTACCTGATTGCTCTGATTACTTTTATTTCCTCTTATATTAAATACAACTTATTGTTATGTTGTGAGGTCATAAACTATGCATTGTAATATAATGTTTATTTTTAAACAATATTTATGTAATCCTTTGTTCAGGTTGCATGCAACTGATGAGAAACTCTAATAAATGAAAAATGAATTCATTATAATATTGACAAACGCTATTGTACACGCAACAGTTGAAATGATGAAGAGAAATGAGTATCATATTGTTTTTGCTTAACATCATTTGTCTTAGTTTATTAAGATAATACCTGTAACTTGGCATTTTTAATGCTGAGAATCAAACTAGTCGGTACTTAAGGTCAAGCATTTTGTTTAACTTCCAGTGTTTAAATATAAATGGTACACACCCACTTTATGAGTTAGAATTAATAATTAACTAACAAAACTAAAATTTTGTTTTTATCCTAATTACTGAACATTAGAGTAGTTGTAATGTTTGCTTATATCTATTCCAACTGCTCTTCAATATATTATCAGAGAAATTTTCAGTCAATCGCTCGATTGAAAACACAGTGAAGTAAATGACCCTAAAATAATTCAGTAATCTATCTTTTAAATATCTATAACAGAACGATCAAACTATAGAAGATTGTAAAATGAAATAAATTGTTGAGAGTAATGTATTTGTTAGCGAAAGAGCTCAACAAAGTGATCTCATAAGAACATGTTCAATATGGAAAAAAGATGAATTAAAGTAAATTGTTGAACTGAAAACGATGGAAAATACTATTGAAATTGCCTTGCTCTTACTGTGATTTTTAAATTTGTATATACATACGAATAATCAGTAAAATTCTCAAGAGATTCACCTGTTCAACTTTTTCATCAGACTAATTACCAAACACTTTTACCTAAGTAAAGAAAGGTTTACTTTAAGATGTTTTTTATCATCATTGTACATTATTTGAACACACTGTAAACAATGATAGTAAGTCGAAAATCCCTCACAAACTGAAAGTAAAATTTACCGATTTCAACAAAAGGTGAATGAATGAACATTAGATCAAGAAACATTATCAAACGTTTCCAGAAACTCAAACTCGCCAGAAATTCACTAGCCATATCACAATTTTTATTGCATTGTAAATTTGAATAGCATGGAGTCATTCTATTAAAACTATTTGAATGGTAATCTTACTTGAATGCTAATGAAATGGCCAACTAGAAGAAAACTTTAGATACAGTGGGGTACGAAAATTGGATCCTTAAGTAACTCATCCTTTATATAAAACCCAGCCTATCACTAGGAATTATTTCAAATAGGTTGATTTATAAAAACTTTCATGCATGCATGTATGGTAAAAATCCATTGTAAAAATCATTAATATTGTGAATAAAATGACTGATACGTAATACTTACAGATGTCATACTTTCAGCTCTCAAGTCAATATTAAATGCTTTTTTACATGATTCAGTAGCTTCAATAATACTGCTCTCTTCAGAGAGCAAATTTAATGGTGGAACTGACTCAGATGTTAAAGATTCTTCAAATTTTTCATAATTATGAATAACTGATGGGTTTAAATCAGATGATTTACATTCCTTTATCGGTACATCAACTGCTTCATTTTCGACATGATTGTAGTAAATTATATTTTCGCCATTGATATCATGATTATTGTTGACGATGTCATTATTCATTAGACAGTTGACATTTTTGTTCTGTGTTTTTTCTCCATATCTAGTTTCATGATCAATTTTATTCTCAATTAGGCTATCTTCATCAAAGGATTCTAAATCACTCATTCAGAAACTTTGTAAACTAACATAAAATTAATGAACAATAAGACAATAAATATCCTCTTGCTCAAAATTAAGTAATTTTAAAGAAGAAATGACAATCTAGGACGCCATAAAAAGCACAAACAGTATATTGATTGTTATATGATGAATAGCAAACAACAAATATAGTAAAGTTAAGTTAGTTTCCAGAAAATAGCGCACAAAAGGTTTATTATTTCTTTTCCTTTATCGACAATGAGTAAACATACTTTACGCCAAACTTATTATGTAGCAGTGTCACAAATGAAGAGCAGCGAAACGTTGTTATTTTACATTGCGTAGACATTAACAGATTTAAGCGTTCACGCATATTATCAAAATATTTAATGTTAGCTTTTGTAGAATGAGGATCCTAGAGATAAAGCATGACCACGCTTGGACCGGTCGTTAATTTACAGAATCATGGATTAATATAACTTCAAGTACTATAGCAAAAAGTCAAACAACTAATACTCAGCATACTTCATGCATTAGTGTAATATGGTAGCCTACTCTCCTACCACTTATTTTCAACAGGATCCAGCTGGTGTGTCTTTGAAATACGATGAGCCTACATACAAGACTTATGACTCAGATATCTAAGTAAGCAAAAAACCAGAACTTTGTCAACAGCCTTGATTTGCTTGCTTGAAATTCACTGTATGGTCCAAATACTATCTACCCAATATTTAAATCGAAAACAATTAGTGTTGTGAATTAACAACCTAAACAACAAAATTAGACAGGAATTATAACACCGGTGCTTCAAGTTTATAAACTTGTAGAGAGTTTGAAAGTTCCATAGGTTTATTGCGGTTTATACTCAAAACTCTCATAACAAAGAATAGTAGAGTGAGTTATATACATTTTATAATATATTGTTTTTTATTGGCTTTTATTTCCAAGCAGCAGCTAAGTTTAACAATAACATTAGGAAAACCTATCTTCGTGCGCTAGAAGAAATCACAAATTTGCCAAGTACTCGTCAAGAAAATAGCAATACAAGCAAATATTGATAGTGGCTGACAGTGGGATCCAGGACGCGCATTTTATCTTTCTAGGGACTCGTCAGCTGGATGCATCTGCATCTCAGAGCTAATGACCCGGACCCAGTACCGTTAGCTTCATATTTTGTCGTGTTATCCATTTAGCTACTGAGTCCTGATGCATATACACCAATAAGACACGTTTTAAAAGTTTATACAAACCTTTTTTATCAACTGTTACATGAGAAATTCAGTGAAAAATGTACAACGTTCTCGATATTCATTTCAAAGCATCTGTCAGCGGCGGTTTGGTTAGCGTAAAGATATAAAAAAGTTATTCATTCCGTTCTGTAAGCTTTATTGTACTGATTTACTTCGACCTTACCAGGGTGACAGGTTATATCAAACTAAGCCAAACGTATTTCTGTGTCTTTAATACTGTAACCAGCGTGCAAAAATACTGTGTCATCAAGGCAGGCTAATGTATTTTGATCGATAACTTATTTTTCCATCAAAGTTTACAAATAAACATGTTAATTGAAAATTTTATTTAATTATAAAACACTTCTTGCAAATGACTGCTCACATCTTGGTTGACATTCAAGGCACATCAAAACTCTAGATAAATCTAAGTCTATTTTTATTATAATTGGTATAAATGTAGTCTTGCATTATCTCCAAAAAACCATGCAAATATTATCTATCTGTCGTCTATGTTCTATTATTTTTATTTTCCCTTTTACAAAACAAACATCAACATTATCAGGTAAAGCACGAAAACTAACCAATATTCTATGAGCTCCAAAACTTAATTCACCAAATATATCATGGCATAAAGGTGAATATAAGGAAAAATTAAATAACTCTTCAAGTGATGACTCCTACGCTTGTAAAAACAATATCCTGTAGATTAACTTTCAGGAATAAGATTGAAATATACTGTTGTGGTTTAATCCTAAAATTACCATCAATAAATCTTGTCGGATGGCATTAAGAGAAATCCAATCAAGACCACGATAACATTCGCTTGATCCGCTACGATGGCGAACTTGAGACTGGACTTTCATTCTTCTTTTCCTTTATTTGTAAGCAATATTTTTTAAATTTCTAAATGAGTAGCTACCCAAAGCTTTAACACTACTTACATCCCTAGATTAATGTCAAGTCACACTACACCTGCAGCTGTTTCATGAAACAAGTAATTTTGAAGTGCATAGAAATATCATCCCATGTTTCACCGCATATAGGAAAAAACAACGAATACAATGGAAAACAACTCAGAAGACGCATCACATATTAATCGTAGTAGTGCTGTTCACTGAAATAGCAAATCAATAAACAAAAAATCTAGTGTTCAACTCCAATTTTGTTCATAAGAAACTAGTTTAGATATAAAAAAAGGAGATTTCAGAGGAAAACGTCATCTCAAGTTCTACAATACTCGACTAATTGTCCTGCACTGCTGCTTCAATAATGCTTTTCGTTTAAAGATCCAGTTGGTGGCAGTAGCAATAGGAACGTAATTTGCCCCAACAAAAAATGCTACATCACACAATCGAAAAACACAACGATTCTTTTTCAATGCACTAGCGACCAGGAATATATACTGTGACGAACTAGAGATATGCAGGTTTCGATTATGTAAACCTGCACTCGATATTAGTACATGGTTATGTAAAATCATCTGTTTGCACTGAAAGACACTGAGCCAGCTTTTCCACTACGTTATTTGTCAGTATGCATTTTTTGGGTTGTTATGTATATATATATATATATATATATATATATATATATATATATATATATATATATATATATATATATATATATTGAATACACAGAAGTAAACAAACAAGTGAAGAGGAGCATCAGAACCGACAAACGTAAATATGTGAAAGATTTAGAAATGACGGCGGAAAAGTCTGCAAGAGAAGGAAACATGAGACAATTGTATGACACGACAAAGAAACTCTCTGGAAATCGCCGCAAACCAGAACGACCAGTGAAAAGCAAGGAAGGCAAGGTAATCACCAACATTGAAGAGCAAAGAAACAGGTGGATAGAACACTTTAAAGAACTCTTGAATCGACCAGCTCCACTGAACCCACCCAACATCGAAGCAGCACCCATGAACCTCCCTATCGATGTTGGCCCACCAACAATTGAAGAAATCAGCATGGCCATCAGACAAATCAAGAGTGACAAAGCAGCAGGACAGGACAACATCCCAGCAGAGGCACTAAAAGCAGACGTAGCGGCAACTGCAAGGATGCTCCACATTCTCTTCAATAAGATTTGGGATGAGGAACAAGTACCAACAGACTGGAAAGAAGGACTTCTGATCAAAATATCGAAGAAAGGCGATCTCAGCAAGTGTGATAACTACAGGGGTATCACTCTTCTCTCAATACCGGGAAAAGTCTTCAACAGGGTATTGTTAAACAGGATGAAGGACTGCGTAGACGCCCAACTTCGTGACCAACAGGCAGGATTCCGTAAGGATAGATCGTGTACAGACCAAATCGCAACTCTACGGATAATTGTGGAACAATCAATTGAATGGAATTCATCACTCTACATCAACTTCATTGACTACGAAAAGGCATTTGGTAGCGTGGACAGAACAACACTATGGAAACTTCTTCGACACTACGGCGTGCCTCAGAAGATAGTCAATATCATACAGAACTCATATGATGGATTACACTGCAAAATTGTGCATGGAGGACAGTTGACAAAGTCGTTCGAAGTGAACACCGGTGTTAGGCAAGGTTGCTTACTCTCACCCTTTTTCTTTCTCCTGGTGATCGACTGGATCATGAAGACGTCAACGTCTGAAGGGAAGCGCGGGATACAATGGACATCTAAGATGCAGTTGGATGATATAGACTTCGCAGACAATCTGGCTCTTCTATCCCAAACGCAACAACAGATGCAGGAGAAGACGAACAGTGTGGCAGCAGCCTCAGCAGCAGTAGGTCTCAATATACACAAAAGGAAAAGCAGGATTCTCCGATACAACACAGAATGCACCAATCCAATCACAATTGACGGCGAAGACTTGGAAGATGTAAAAACCTTTACGTATTTGGGCAGCATCATTGATGAACAGGGTGGATCCGATGCAGATGTGAAGGCGCGGATCGGCAAAGCAAGAGCAGCATATTTACAACTGAGGAACATCTGGAGCTCAAAGCAACTGTCAACCAACACCAAGGTCAGGATTTTCAATACAAATGTCAAGACAGTTCTACTGTATGGGGCAGAAACCTGGAGAACCACGAAAGGCATCATCCAGAAAATTTAGGTGTTTATTATCAGTTGTCTACGCAAAATACTTCGGATCCATTGGCCGGACACTATTAGCAACAACGTACTGTGGGAGAACAAACCAGATCCCAGTGGAGAAAGAAATCAGGAAGAAGCGCTGGAAGTGGATAGGACACACATTGAGAAAAGCACCCAACTGCATCACAAGACAAGCCCTCACATGGAATCCTCAAGGCCAAAGGAAAAGAGGAAGACCAAAGAACACATTACGCCGAGAAATGGAGATAGACATGAGAAAAATGAACAAGAATTGGATGGAACTAGAAAAGAAGGCCCAGGACAGAGTGGGTTGGAGAGTGCTGGTCGGCGGCCTATGCTCCATTGGGAGTAACAGGCGTAAGTAAGTAAGTAAGTAATGTATATATTATACATACATACACATTATACATATCATACATATTATTGCATTAACATTTTATGAATCTCAGAAATACTTCACTGTGTTTGGCAGATAGAGCCAGTTTGTCGACTTAATTAAGGAAACGAAATATAAATAGACCGATAAAAAGGATCATTTTGGAAAATGTTTTGAAATTTCAAAGTACAACATAAATGTCATAAACTGTTCTGGCAAAACAGGTTCCCCAGCCAAATCTTTTTAAGCATCATAGTCGACATAATCTCATGATGAAAGCCGCAATGATTAATATAGAAGGTCCATGTTTATGTTGAAACTGTTTATAGCTATAAACCCAAGAGTTTTAAACAATTTTCCGAACGAATATAAAATAGTCCGAGGCCGTCTATATCCTTAAAATGAATTACTATTCCTATAGCATTATACAATAATATCAACATACACAAAATGTATACATATATTGATTGAACAACGGAAAGCCAATTCTCACCGTTGCTAGCGTCAATAGCTTCAAACAAATGCCATAAGGTTAATGAGCGATTGGAGAATACAAACAAATTCATTTGCAATCAACTAATACCGGACATATTTAGTATTAAAGTGACGTCAGCAAGACTATTTCACTCTCTAATTATTGGTGTTTTTAAGAGGATCAAATATTGTAGGATGATAGAATTATTGGAACCATCTGATCTTACCTAATCGAAGATTAGTTATTTATACATATAGAAAGGGAACTGGTTGAAATATTCTAAAACCCATAGAGAGGCTTAAAGGATGATGAAAAAGAAAGAAATTAGTTTCAGGATGAAACTAATAACGGTTTATGGTGCTTAAACTTATCGATCAAGTTAGGGTATTCTATAGATAAATCTATTCTTGCCTTGTGTGGAGGTTTGCTTTATCGAAGAGGTATTTTATGTACCAAGGGAACAGAATAAGGAGGGGTGTAGAGGAGATAATTTTAAAAAATGGGTTGACGAACTAGCGAGCACACACAATAAACTTACATTTATCAAGGAGGGCAATAAACTACGATCACCAATACCGTTAGATTCAAATTAATACAGTCTTGAAACCAAAACTAGAGCTGGATAGTTAAACTCGCTGCACCTTGCCTCTTCTTTACACAATTCAATGAATTGTAAGAGGTTGTTTTCATCTATATGTCTTTACAGAGTGCGCAAATAGTCGGTGAAACGAAATCAATTCTCAGCATCTATTTCCGTGTCTTGCATTTGGTATGATGATTATGGCCCACTAGACGAATGATCATAGCAAACTGGGTTTGCGAGATAATCTATGACTAAGTAACATCATTTCACATGTAATTTCTCTCCCAATAGCAGTACCACTCATAAAACATGTCTTCTCATTTTCTCTAATATGCTCACAGCTTGTTTTATGGTAAGGGTCGGAATGCTGTTACATGTCTAGTCACTTGATTACATGAGCGTCTTATATAGCGTTCAAAATGATAGAAGATTCAAGATAAATGAGTGTCTGTTAATGAAAATAAGGCTAATATAAGATTTCGTTGCACCACCAATAATTATCCTATCCATCAAAAGATCTTCGGTGAAGAACATTACTGGAGTTTCACACCATACGAAAGGCTTTCCTGTGATCTAACGCTAAGACTACACTCATACTCCTGATAGTAACGTTGTGACCTTTTTAAGTGCAAAGTCTCAACAAACAAGAACGACCTGCCCTACAATCGTAATATTTTTTAACTGGCAGATTATTCTGCCTTGTCGGTCAGGACGGTAACATGAATGAATTTTCTTAGAACCGGTGCATCACTGATGTAAGACTGGTCGATGAGTGGTTATTTACTGATGTGGTTGTTTTGACTTTTATTTATTCGAATAGTGCGTTTATATTTTCTTTAAAACGTTACGGCTGACTTAATATCAGTTTGTAACACTTCAGTATGATGTAAAGTTAGTTTTCCACTGACGAAATCATCGAGAATGTAATATACTGGTACGGTAAAATTCTCATGTTCAAGACAATGAGGCAGCCAATGGGCCAGTTTTCCAACGAGGACTAACCGAATCATCACGAAAGTTTGTCCGTATAATTTGGAAACCCTTGATAAAAACAGCCGTGATCAGATAATATCGACTAAAATATTCTAAATGTTATCTCTTGTAGCGGTCGTGTCGATACGTTACCTTTTTAGACGTCTGTTTTTAGTAATGATGAACATTTTTCCATAAGAGTCCGACAACTTTGTATTAGTTATTCTCAATGTCATGATTTATGGTGTGTTATTGCCTCTAAAAGGCTCTTTTACTCCAACAGTATAAGTTTAACGGTGTCGATGGCAGAATAATTCCAAAAATCTTTTTTACAACGAAGAATATCTTTAGCGGCTTCACTATATGCCAGGACACCTAGTGAGGTTGCTTTATCTTGCCAGTAGCCCGTTTTTGGAACCGAAGTGTCTATATTTACGTCTGTGATTCCAGCAAATGTTGTATCTGGTTTCAGGGTTTGTGAGAGTAACCGACAAAAGAAGAACGATGTTCGCCATTTTTGTCATCAACCGGACAATTGTAACAAATAGTGTTAACAAACTTGTTGATAAATTTAATTCTACGAATTATTGATTACACAGCGAAACCAATCCCTGTGTCGTGATTCTTTTATTTCTCCCGTCTTAGAAAGTCAGAATAGGTAACTGCATTGTAAATCTTTCCGTATTTGGATGTGAATATTGCAGTCACGAGTCGTTTTCTTCCCTTCACATAAATTCACCACACAATGTGTTCGTATGGTATGGTTCTGATTATAAATCTGAATCTCATAAAATGCCTAAAAACCGCACTAGATTACATAATTCGAACAGTTTTTTTTGACAACGTTTGTAGGTCTAAATGTAACACCAAATTAAAAATGGCTCACTTAATTTATAAACATTCTTAATGAATATATAAGTTCATTATATTCAGATTGACAATCAATGTCTCCAGAAGCACAAACATTTCTAACTAATAAGAGATATGATGTTTCTTCACTAAAAATGATCAGTTTAATAGCGAAAATCAAACTACACTCGTGGATCATCAACGTTGCTGATTTCCTTCGAATGATTAGGGACCTATTCGATTTAGACAGAAATGGTGTGATCAACAGCTAACATCGAAGTCGCACCTTGTGCTCATCACCTAACGTGGATTACCTCTTCGTCGTATTAGGGCACGATGGATTCCTTGAAGACCGTACAACAAAAAGGACGTTATCACAGAAATATATAAGTTAAAGTAAGCAGAAGCAAAAGCGTGACCACCGCCGCTTAGGTCAGTCCATGGCGTACGACTAACTGTTGTGCGCTGGTTGTCTTTGACCTTGACGGGGATCAACGATCTGATCGACTTTCAGTGACCCAGCAGCCGGATGATATAAAAGTCAAGTAAGGCTAAATTAAGACAATCAATGGGAGTCTATGTAACAGAGGTACAAATGGACAAGCAAAAGACAAGTTAAAGCAATGATCCTGGTGTTATTCAGACTGAACCTGAAAAGAAACAAAAAATAATACCGGATATAAATACTTAAAAGTTAAGTGCAAGATAAGGTATTTTGTTGCATAAATGTGTCAATGAACACAGACGGCAACGATGGACATTTTAGATAGAGAGGAAAAAAAGAAAACAATCATAGAGGAAAAGACACACAGAGGGATTCCATTAATTATTCACCCAGAATTGGATTCTGTGGCGTAACTAAGGGTAAATGTTAGTAATAACCATGTGTTATATCAAAATCCAAACATTTCTCACGAAAATTGATAGATGAGAAGATTTGGATCAAAGTTATGTCTTATTTATCAACCCTTTTCTAAGAAACTAACTGATTCATGAGTTAGGTCACGGGTTTCAAAGATACTGCATTATAGTTGTAAGCTGTTAAAAGTGCCGTATTTCGTTTCACGTTCTGTCCTGTTTAGTGTGTAGACTCGTTGTTGTTTCCGATGTTTCAGCCAGACTAAACTCGCTTATTTGTAATCTATTATCACTTCTTGCATTATTCTATGTGAACTAGATTGTATATTTTGAAGTTTTCTACCATGTAGGAATAGTGATAGTTCGTCGTAATGTAGATTTACAGGTCCGAAATATCAAAAAAGACAACTTCATTATTTCGAAGTTTATTTATGGCCTTTTTTAATATGTCGTGTCACTCTGCAGTTGTACTTGTCTTCGTTCCTATCCTAATTTCTCTCTTTTGTTTTTCCGAACACCAGCCTTGATTTTGTGTCCAATTCAAATATTATTCCAACCTGAGGATGGAATGGATTTGAAGAAAAGGAAGATCACGGTTATCATAAGAAAGTGTAAGTTCTGAAGGCACCTTTAACTTCTCACAAAATGGGTGTTGCTCTCATATTACCAGTTAAAAGTTTCAGAATGATTGGTGACCATTAGGATGCATTCAAGACTTTTTCTGGTTGGTTGAATCCGAAATTTGTAACCTTGGATGGTAGCCGAGTATTTCCATCATTTATTAACTAGTGGAAGACGTATATGTCTAACAACGAAAACTTTGGAGTAGGGCCAAATCTCGTTGGTTGTACCATGCCTATCTGTAAGTGACATAACCTCCAGCATAGACCACATGGGTTGAGTCCTCTGAAATAGGGTGCTAGTGACCTGTGCTCTCAAACTGAGTACTTTTGATAGTTACTTGACGAGAATTGTGTTCTGAGAGGTGATATATATCAGTAGCCTGAGGTTCCTTATTATCCAACTTTGGACATTTCCACGAGTATATGTTATCTTCATGCTCACTGAAATCCGCAGAAAATATTAGCGAAGTTAATGTGTATATACAAACCATAGTTCTTCCGTCGGAAACCCTATTTGAAACATTTAATAGCAAATTTCCTTACTAAATCCTGATATGACAGTATTATCGAAGCAAAGATTCGAATATCGGCTGAAATCTAGGTTTATTTGTAACTTAGCTTTTACGATGTCCTCAAACAAGTTAGGCAGAAATCTCATAATTTAGGTAGCCAAATATGTCATCCATTAAACGTTTAACTTTAATTTGCCTCTTAGACTGATGATCAAATTGGGAACAGCGTGAAGCACTCAATGAAGACAACCAAGTTTACGTTGTTCATAACAAAGTTAACTGCTTCGGGAACCGCTACGAAATCTCAAAAGTTTCACATTGTGTCGTTTCAACATACTGTTGTTCTAATGAAACGAGAAATCCACTTATGATGTGCCTAAAAAATGTCAGTTTTTATCTATGGCTTTGCCAAGTAAAAGTTACTGTACGGTTTTGTATAATTATACGATGGGTAAGGTGCATTCTATTTCTTATATGATTTGTAACAAAATGGAGAAAATCTTGTAATCACTCGTTAATGAATTGGGAATCTTCATTTTTGAGCTATCGAAGGATAGGAGCTGACCTGATAACTGCAAATAATTTGCTATGTACTCCAAGTCACCCTTATATGAGAATCCTGCCAGGATAACACCATCGCGCTC